ACCACAGAATAGCTGGCACGTTAAATTAGCTCCACACTGACTTTCTCCTGCAGAACTTAATTCATGAACTCCCACAAAACAAACAACTAGAGACGATTAGAAAGTGTTATTTCAGAAAATAAAAAAGTTTCTGCTATCCTCATTTAATTATACAATAGATTTTCTGTCAAAATTAATTAGCAGCAACATCAATCCTGATTTATTCAGTAAAATAAATGCAATCACAGGATGTTTGTTTTGAACTAATGTATGTTTCTGAGTGTGAATGTCCACTAGAGGTCGCACTTTGCCTAGAAAGACAATGTGTTTCCACAGAAAGTCACATTATCCATTCTGACAGCAGCCGGCAACAGAAACTGGTTCATGAAAGCTGTTTTTCTCCTGATTTTTGAGGCAAATATAAAACTTCTCAGATTTGTCTTTCTCTCAGTAGCATCTAGTAGGTTAACTCTACGAATTGTTTCTTTTTTAAGTTGCATAAAACACACAGAGGGATCAAAAAGCACCTACAGCGACTCTCTCTCTCTGGTGGAACAATCGATATGGATTTTGGGACGGGTGACGAAGGCAGGTTGCTGGGAGCGCGCTGCTTAGCGTGTGTGTTTGTACACACACAATGGCCGGGGAGCATGTGTCACATTCACGTGTCGCGTTCAGCCAGGCTGGCGGGGCTGGGGAACTATTCCAGGCTCAGCCCGTTTTATTTTGGGGGTCTGTTGTGGTGACGCTGCCCAACACCTCTCCCCACCCCCACACCGTCCCAGTACTGACTGGTACTGGGTGCACTGGGCCTGGTGTAGATCCTGAACTGGGTGGAGAGCCGGACTCCCCAGGTTCTACACTGTAAAACATCTGAAGGTGGTTTGAATTGAACGTGAAAGTCCACCTGCTGCCTAGAAAATGCAAGAAAGTTCTAGGCAAGAAAGTTGCAGGCAACAACAAGAAAAATGTTTTGGGTTTAACTCAGAAATTATTGATTTAACAACAACTTAATGCTGAAACTTAAACCAAATAATTATTTGACAATATAGAAGAAAAAAATCTGCCCTCACTAGTTAAAGAGCCACATTTCTTTATTATCTTCACTCACAATATCAAGTATGGATAACTACTTATTTTACTTTAGAATAATTTAAATTCTTATTTCAAATTGCATGAACAAAATGTCTGATCTGATAATGAATTTTACTAAACATCACAGTGAATTCATGGCCCCTGCGCAAGGATGACACGCAAATTTGTGAAGCGTTCCTCATTTTAGTGTGAACAGGACATAAAAACAAACATTTCCCTTAATAACACTTCATAACTCGCTACATTTATTTGACTTAAAGAGTAAAAGATAGTTGACACAACTAAACGCAGCTCAAATGTTTTGGAGTGTAAACTTCACCACATCCAGGGCTTTTCCAATGAAATATTATTTTATTCATGCATCTCTGATATTATCCAGTTTAGAACAAAAAAATAAATGTACTAACATATTTCTACAGCTATAAATAAAGTTTTCTATGACGTTTTTGTAACTTCAATTGCAAAACAAAGACGTCAGAGGTAATAAATAACCACTGCAAAAACACAAAGGCTTACCAAGTATTTCCGTCTAGTTTCCAGTGCAAATCTCTCAATACTCTTGAAACAAGACAAAATTAACTTACAAGTAACTTTTCACCAAGATATACGAGCAAATCTTTAATATCGATTTTAAAAAGTGTTAGTTTCACTGGCAGATTATTTCATTTAAAACAAGACTTGTTTCACATGTTATAAGTGAAAAAACATAGTTTTTAAAAATTAATATTACGGAATAAAAGCTCCTACAACTTTCTGAAACGTTACTTTTAAGTTGATGCAAGTCATTGAGTTTTGCACAGTTTTGTGCCTCCATTCTGTTTCCTTTCGATAATAATATTCATCTTAATGTCATTAATTATTATTACTATGCAAAGATGTCATCATATATTAAGCCAATTAGTTCCAGTCAGTTAAGTAAAGCATAAACTTGCATCTTCTGCCTCCATTTATTTCTTGTTTGTCCTAAATTGGAATAATTTGAGTATCAAAAGGATAAAAAATATCCAAGAACCAGAGTTGTGTTTTCAAAAAAGAGGTAATAAGCTGAAGTGCATCACTGGATTTTTTTGGGCATTTGTTTTACCAGCAGCCCTGACAGAAAACAATATAGTTTCTAACATTAACATGCTAATAATAACAAAGCTTGACAGAGAGAGTATATATTTGCAGCTAATAAAGTGATATTAGCTGAAACATGCAAACGGAAACTGAATGATGCATCTCTCTGATCCTGCTTGAAGTCTTAAAGGTGTTATTTCTATTTTTAAGCTGTAAGACACTGTTCCTTTGCTGTGGCTAGATTATTTATAGGTTGACACTTCTTTTATCCTCCACATCTCTACTTCATTCAGTTTTAAGCACACAATGTACAACGTGTGAGAAAATTTGTTAAAAGGAAAAAAACAGCCACTTTCGAAGATCGCAGGTGAGTGCATAAATCAATTAAAGGATAAGGAAATAAAAGGTGGTTTAAAGTGTTTGCACAATATCAGCACAGTGTACGTAAAGTTTTCTTTGACATGGAGGTGTGGTGTGTGTCTGTGGTCACTGCAAGTTATAGTACAGCTTGAGGCTGAGTCACCAAATGACCCAGCAGCGGTGTAAAGAACTGGGTGGTTCCCCTGTTAACGCAAACCAGCTTCAGGTTTGACACCAGTACAGACCACCACAACACATGCAGCGGCAAAATGTGCAGAAATCAAACAAAACAAGTTACAATCGCAACAACAGTCAAGCAAAGACATGCAGAAGGTGGCCGGCGTGGGGTTATCGTCAGTGCAGAGTGAGTCAGCGCTTTATTGTGATGTCAGCTGCAGCAGGCTGGGAGACCGTCCACAACTCCCTCCTTCTGCTCAGAACATCAGAACCACGAGCGCCTCACAAACCGAAGCATCACCGACGCAAATTTATCAGCATTTACTTCAAGAGCTGAACAAACGTGGCAGAAAAATGTAGAGAAAAAAAAACAAAAAACAGGAAGTCTATAAACAGAATGTAGCCACAAAGAAAACTGGCTTCCTCTCAGAAAGAGTTAGGCAACATGGCAGCAAATAAAAAGCAATGCTGCTAATGCGGCGCAAAAACTGCAGCGTTTAAAGAACTGCTTTTTCACTGAACAAACTTCAGTACATCTAATTGGGATTTTATGTGACCCAGAGCCAGACAAAACAGTGAAAGTGAAAATAGTGGTTTATAATTTTATCTACAAGATAAAATCTGAAAAATGTGGCATGCACTTGTGCATGCATTAAGCTCCTTTCTCAGAGGTTTTAAAAGAACATTAGAGAGTAAAAGGAATCATGAAGAATACAGGAAATAAGTCAGGGAGACAAGTTCAAAGAAAAAGAGAGAGCATTAATTAGTGGAAGAGCCAAAAAGCAAATGGTGACTCTGGAGGAGCTGTAATCACCCAATGTCTCAAAAAAATCTGACCTTTACAAATGAGTAGCAAGAGGAAAGCAACAAATCCCAGATAAAGTTTGTAAAAAGCCATTAAAGTGAAGAAGCAAAATGTTATTTATGAAGAAACACACAAATATGCTGAACAAACGATCTCAGTGACAGGCAGCATGATGCTGTGTGGGATCAATTTCTGGTCGGAGTTGTTGTTTGGATGGACGGAGCTAAATGAAGGGCACTCCTGGGAGAGTTTCGCGTTTCAGCAACTCTAAACATCCAGCTGGAAATACAACGGACGATTGTATTTCATCCAGGACATACATCGCCATTTAATTCAAGATTTAAAATGGCCTAGTCAAAGTTCAGACCTAAAGCCAGTTGAGAGTACGTAGCAAGACTTAAAAATTGATGTTCACTGTTATTTTAGAGCGAAATACACTGCAAAAACACAAAATTTTGTCAAGTATTTTTAATCTAGTTATATTAGTACACTTGAAATAAGACAAAAATAACTTGAAAGTAACTTTTCAGCAAGTTATAGTAGCTTGTTTTAAGTAAATAATTAATTAATATTTATTTAAAAAGTATTAATTTCACTGGCAAATGATTTGTGTTAAGCGAAATAATCTAAAAGTTATGCGTAAGTTTGTTTTGTCTTATTTAAATTGTACTAAGATATTTAAACAATAAACTCGACCATTAAATACTTTGTATAGATTTTGTGTTTTTGGAGTGTCGGAAAAGATTAAATTTAAAAAATGTGTAAACCTGGTAGAAACCCGGTTCAATAAACCTGTAACTGCTAAAGATGACTCTTTAAATTCATTTTCAGCTTTTTGTCTGTATAAAAGTTAGAAACCATGTGTTACTTCAATTCTGCTTCACGGTCACACAAAAAATTCAATAAAATGCCAAACAACGAATAAATGTGAATTCTTCAGAATAAAATGCTCATTATCTTTCCTCCACAGTTACTGTGAAAGTCATAGTTCACTGAAATAAAGTAATATTTTAGGATTAAAGTGGTGAATATTACACCTTTCAGAATAAACTATTAGAAATGTCTGGATAAAAAACAAAGTCAAAGTTTAAGATATTTACAAGTTAGAGTTACTTTTAACAGATCATAATATTTACAGAGTTTAATTTGGCATTATCCTCCAACTCCAGACTACTTTTTAACACTTTTAAAACTTTACACAACCTTGAATTTTGTCAGAAATAACAACAGAGACGAGCTGCAAACAGGAAATGTGTTAATTTCTAATCAATCCTTGTTAATCTTTTACTTTTGTGTTTTTATCTACATCCTCTCCACAGCATTTTCCTCTGTAGCGGAACAAGAGCTTCTCTATCTTCATTTTTATGACAGCACCCTGTCACTGTTGAGCGAATCTTGAAATTAGAAAATCTAAATATATTTAGTTCCTGTACAACTCAACGTTTCATTCAGTTAATTCACAAATCCCTCCAGGCCTTCCTGTGACTGCAAGCTGAAAGGTGCAGAAGATAATTTGGCAACGTACCCCAAGCACGAGTGTCTCCGACTGGCTCTGAAGCTGCTCGGCAGCCCCAACTTTCCCACTCGAACCTCTTTGTTCATTTTCAAAAGAAGTTCTGATTGCACATCTGTCCTGCGCTAAATCCAAGGTATGGACACCAAGGCACAGGCTGGTGTTTCTGGATTCATCCCACAAGGCACGTTGTTAGAAAAACCAAAAAAAGAAGTCGTCTAGGTCAGAGGTTAAAACAAAACTGAAAGAATCCGACGGAAAATGTATATGAATCATTTTTATCTCCTGAGAATGCAGGGTGACCTGCATGGAGGAATGCTGCAGAGTCCACCTGAAGCAGCGTCAGGCATGCCCCAACAAGGACACCAAGGTTTCTCCAGGGGAAAACCGACGAAATGCAGCTGCGGATTTTACTGCTCTGAGAGATTTGTTGAGTTAGTCTTGCCTCTTCAGGAGTTGCGGTTAAAAAAACAGCCAAAATAATCCCACACGTGACAAAGTTTATCTGCATGCCAGAGGTCTTTACAGATCCAAACAGCGCAGGAAACAAAAAAAAAGTCCCTGAGAGTTTGAAGGATTGTTTAAAAGTAGCTTGATTACTCTAACTCTGTCATTCTCTCACTCTCTGTGTTCGCAGAAAGGGGAAGCGTGGTTCTGCTGCTGATATCAGTGACACTGCAGGGCAGCGTCACCAAGGGTTAACCTCTTCCTCTGACAGGGCGAGCGCTTGCAGAGTGCCCTGAGGTGGCTGAGGAGCGCAGGACGGCCCACCCTGTCAAGACGTCTGATTTATGCAGAATATCCACGAGCATGTTTAAGGTCCAGGCTGCCCCTCTGCTTCAGTTTCAGGTTTCCAAAACAAACCCTTCAGCGGTGAAGTGCTGGTTCTCTCCAAGCCGGGTGTGACTGGCGACGCAGATTGTTACAGAGGAAGCACTTTGTTTGTGAAAAACAGATCTGACTGCACCAACTGCACGGCTGGCAGATGTTTTTCTTTCTGGCAGAGCCGCTCGACGCAGCTTTCATCGACACGTGGGGATCAGCATGCAGTTCGACCTGATGCCCTCCTTCTGCTGCCCTGAAGCCAACAGGATATTGTTAGAGTTGGTGCTGGGCAGGCGAGCAGCGATGGAGAGAGGGGAGGCATGCAAAGCAAAATAAAAACAAAATGATCGTGCAGCTACACACTAGCATTTATTTTTTATTAATTAGGGTTGTGTGAAAGAATATTTACTGACTAAATTCCTTCAGCTGTTTCATGTTTTGTCACGTTACAACGAGAAACTTTAATGGAATAATTTCTAATAAGTGGAAAGAAAAGAGGAGAAGTTTTTAAAAACTGTAATGCATGTCGAGTATTTACTCTGGTGGCACTAAATGAACTCCAGAGCAACCAAACTACTGCATGGAATCAGTTCACAATGATTACAAACAACAAGACATTTTTAATTTTAAGTGTACTAAATATTATCTCTTATTTCACAAGACCTATGGAACTGTGAAGAAATTATTCCACAAAAATTCACAGACTTTAAGTTAAAGTTGGTGGTTTTGTACTCAGAGTAATTTGAAGAATTAGTTTCTTCGTAAAACTGATTTCCCTTCTAAATCACAATTAATCTACAGTTGGTGCTAAAATACATTCACCACAAAATCTTACCAAGTAATTTGGTTGGTTTGGTCGTATTACACTTGAAATAAGACAAATTAACTTAAAAATAACTTTTCAGTAAGATATAGAAGCTTTTTTTAAGTAAATATTGATGCAAAAGTACTTTCTATTGGCAGATCAATTCACTTACGGGAAAAATGTTGCTATAAGTTAAATAACCTGCCAATCGGATGAGTACTTTTCCATCAATATTAAGGAATTATTTACTTAAAACAAGCTTATATGTCTTACTAAAAAAGTACTAATTTGTCTTATTTCAAGTTTGCTAAGATATTTGCACCAAAATTGCTTAGTAAGGTTTTGTGTTTCTGCAGTGCCAAGAGGTGTGAATACTTTTGCATATTAGAGAACAAGGGAATAAAAAAACTGAATAGAATTAATTTTAATTTAATAATTATTTGCTTATTTTTCAAAATATTTCCTAAACATACTCTCCTAAACCAATAACAGAGAGCTGCTGCCATGAAAATGACTTGAGACTAAATCTGGAAACATGATAAATTACACCAATCAGGCGTCTTTATTGCTATCCTCACATCTTTAATGCCTTGTATGATTTATCACCATTTCTTTCATATGAGCTGCCCTCAAGAAACATCAATACCGCCCAAAAATCTCCAGTTTTTTAATCTAAAGGTATTATTACCGTCTTTCAATAAGACCGTCTGCCATCTGTCTGCTTCTTCTCTCTCTCATTGTCTGCCAACGTGTTTTCAAAGCTCTTATTCTCTCTGTTCTTTCTGCTTTCTGCTGTACGTCCTTCAGTTTTTCACAGACTGTACAGAAAGACGGAGATTCCCACAGAGACGTGACAGATTTATTTCAGGAATCCGCGGCTTCGAGGTTGCCAACTACTTATCAGCATCTATTGTTGTTCTGGCTCAAACGTGACACCAAAAATAAAATTTTGAGCTTTAGGAGGAAGCTATAAAACGAACCTGCATTTAAACCTAAAGTCTGTGAATCTTTGTGGAATAACTTCCTCACAATTACAGACATAGTTCTGCTGAAATTTGAGATAAGATTTAGTTAAGATAGATTCACGCTGGGTGTGGCGCTCTTGGTAGGTCAAATGTAAAAGAAGCATACACTTAAAATTCAAAATATCTTCTTGTTTGTGCTTTAATCATTGTGAACTGATGTGCTGAGGTTGTGCTTAAATGTAGGAGATTTGATCTTTACTGGAAAAATAACAAAAACGCACAACTTCCTGCAGTCTCCCAGCAACCAGCACAGCCGTAAATGGACGCGGTGTTTGAAGGTTACCTTGTTTCTCTCAATGGGGAGCGAATCGCATCCCTGCCTGCAGTTAGCACATTATTTATGAAATGCTGATAGTGGGACAACTGTGTTCGAAGCAAACGGCTAGCACTGTTACAGTTAAATTAGCGACCTCCAAGGCTACATTCACACAGCAGGTTTCGATGCTCAATTCAGATTTCTTGATGAAATCCGACTGTTTTGCGTTGTTGTTCATATTACTGAATAAATGCGACCAGAATCAGATTTCTGTGTGAAAGATTTATGACCCCGAAGAGACTCGAATTTGCAGAAGAAGGGCGTAGACATCACACAGCGGCGCATCGCTTACTGAAGCAACAGTAGATGCTGCTGTCTATGGATCATTTTTAAAGTTGTTCAGCAATGGAGCCCAGAGTATTATCACAAGATCACAGCAAGACGAATGAAGGTAATAAAAATGAAGGTTGCTTCTCGCTTCAACCATCGTTTGTCCAGATTTACTGCTTCTGGTTTCTTCCAAGAAAGAATTATGACGCATGTCTTCTGTCAGGTTTTTAAGAAATGGCAGGACAAAATGCAGGACGACAGTTCAGACCACAGATGCTTTGAACACTATTTAGTCACACATTTAGATATGTCACAAATCAGGTTTGTCTTGTTGACGCTGCCATGTTTACAGGGATGGAAACCCAGTAAGTGACGGAGGAAAAATAACAAGGTCTTCAGTTACGTTAGGGCTGAGTGCAGCAGTGCTCCTGTCACCTGCTTTTTAGGAACTACATCCACCTGTGTAAATCTCCACCCACAACAGGAAGAAAAAAACAGGGCTTCAGTCGTATTTGCTTGAGGTTGAAGTCTTATGGTGCGTTCACACCGCGGATCAAAACCGTGTCTGATGCTTCAAGTTTGACGCGTTTGCACTTTGAAGTTGGACGCCTGGCATTTTACTCCAGACGTGCGTCACACGTGTCAAAATCGTGCGTTGGGAGGAGCCGTTGTTTTCCGGTCTGTTTGTATTATGCAGGATGAAACTGAAAGAGTGGCATCAAAACATTATGTAGTGAAACTTTCTGCAATCATAACAGAGGCTCAGATGCCTTTGCTGAACATTTTGTGTTCAGTTTCTGTTGAACAAACAACGGTGACAGCTGATAATGACACGCGTTGGAGACTTTTGTTCTCCTGGTTACTTTGAACAATGGCGGATTAAATATTGAGTGTTTAGGTTTTATTTACTGAAATCAACAGAATCTTGCCATCAGGCGCGTGTTTGCATTTACCAGATAATTCAGAGGTTTTGTGAGTTTTACTGTCGAGGGTCACTGTCAGTCCCAGTTTGACGACCCGCTACCCCAAATCTCCTGGCAGGACACCAGCTAGCCACTACGTCACCTAGCGAAGTCTCTCTGACTGGTTGACGCTTCACGTCGAGCAGCAGAAGTTCAGCTTTTTCTACTCCAGCGTCCGACGCTCAAAATGCTCTAAGCGCTTCAATCTCGCCCTCGAAGCGCCTCCACACAGACTGAATGTGAACCAGACGTGCCTGACGCTCAAAAAGCGTTTGGTATTTGAATGCAAATTTAGTGAGACAAGTTCGGACAGTCCAGTTTCAAATTCTCCATGAACAACTGAGCAAGCCCTGCTGGTTTGTCTGGAAACCAGTTCATGAAGTCAGAAGTCCTGTTGCCTCCAGGCTCCCTGCACTCTACATACTTTCAGCACGCGGCCCAAATATGTTGCCGATATGATGGTCCTTAAAGTAGTGAAGAAATTCTCCTGTCTTTGCATACTGTCACCATCCTACTCCTAAGTTCAGGTGGTTTCCAGCCTTCTTGTTGACAGAAAAAAGAAACCAGAGTAAGTTAGTGTTAGACATGCATTTGCAAGCTCTGCCGCTGTCCTGCTGGTTTCGGGTATCTTGGGATTCTCAAGATAAAGTGTCAAATAAATATTTGATGCAGTGAGAGCCACTGGTTATACTCTGTTGAGCTGCATGAGACTCTGACTGTAAACGGCTCAGCAGCAGAAGTAAGAAAGAAGTGTGGAAATACATTTCACAACCTGTCAAGTCTCGTTTCACACTTTAAATTATGCAGTCAGGAGCCATGAAAATGAAGATATTGTGATGTATTGTGGGGTTAAACCCAGTCATCCTCATGCACACACCAGTACATTTTACTGCAAATCAGATAACAATAGTATAACAAAGAGCTGCTTAAGTTAAAAGCTTGAAAAAAAATTAATGAAAAATCGTATTTGTTTCAGATGTTTTTTGTCTAAACAGTTATTTAATTTTATTGCAGAATTGAAGCGTCTTTATTTTCTGTCTTGTCCTGTTGTTACATTTTCTATTCAAATTAAAGACGTTTTATTCGTATAAGCCTTATTAAAACTTATCAGACAGAAAGAGACAGTTCTGCAGGGTCATGTGCTCAAATGTAGACATTTATGAGGTCAACTGGTGTCAATCAGTCACATTTTATTCATGCTGCATTGCTATAAAGCTCTGAATAAATTTAACCTCTGGGTTTGTTTATTTATTTTTTCATTTTTATTGCACAAATAACAAGGAAGGGGATTAGATAAGCTCCTAATAAACCTGCCATAAAGCACTGAGTCCATTTCTTCAGTGACGTGTGGAGAAAACTACTGTACAGGTATTATATAAACTATAAATGTACAATAAAAATACTGTTATGTTCTCTTTAATCCAACATCCCATCAAATCCATGCAAACGTTTTTATAAACTAACTTCACAGAAACATTTGTCTAGAAAATTAGGACATATTTCAACAGCTTCCCTGCTTGAGACCAAAATACCTGCAAAACTGAGATGCTTAAATATTTCATGAGCAAGCAGCTTAATGTCACTTGAATGCATGATGTAAGTAATGTTTGTATGTTAAGGACAAACCAGCTCTGAAGCAGCAAAGGCATCCAGGTTTCAGGTTTACCTGGAGACAAGGTTTTATTTCACAAGTAAAGATGTGACACCCGGTGAGTTTAGTCTCTGATAAAGACGTGAAATAAAAAGCTTTTGTCGCTAATCAAATTTGGCTCATGATTGTGGGATTTACAGCAAACTTTATAATCTGCAGCTTTCGTTTTGGTAATAAATGTAACGATTTAGTTGCCACACAGACCTCCAGTAGCTCAGCGATTTTAATTTTACACTCAGACACACCGAGGGAAACTTGATTAACTATAATTGCTTCTTAGCTGCTGTGCAGTAATTTTTATTAACAGGTTCATATCAGATGTTTCAGCTGGATGGGTTTGACTAAGCATTCAGTGGAATAATGAGGAATAAAAAAAGGTCTGCGTTCAGCTTAACGCTACCAATAAATGTCAAATATTTTATTTTATCTGGAGC